TGTTGTCACTCTTTGGTGTAAATTAATATTAATTTTTTAGTAAATTTTGATAAAAAATGATGAAAGTTGTGATTTAGGGCGTGTCTGTAATATTGATTCTTTTGGAGAATACGTAGTTAAAAAGTAGGAAAAAATTTCGAGTTTAGGAACAAAATTATTTTATTGAAAGAATGTGTGATTGAAAATGAGGGCATGTTTGAGCCAAGTTATCTTTTGAGTATCCATTTAGAATAGTAGATTGATAAAAAAAATATGTGGTTAAAAAAAAATGAAATATATTGAGTTTACGTATAATATTAACGTTTAGTTGAAAAGGAAAAAAAAAAAGAAAAGAAAAATGTATTTTGTAAGCTCCTGTTTGGTAAAAATAAAATTCAAATTTTAATATAAGTCAAAATTAAGAATTAATTTTAATCATATATTTTATGAGCTCTACAACTTTTTAATTACAAATTTCATCAACTTTTATCAAAATTTATTAAAAATCGAAATTTAACCCCCACCAAATAGAGGTTAAATAATGGAGATCAGACAAGGGTTCGGTTTTATAAGAATGGGCATTAAAAGTCAAAAAAAAAAAAAATTAAAATAATAATAAAATCTTGACTATCCATGTACGTGTATTTCTCGGAAAAAGTCTGCTAAACATTTTCTGGCGTATCGTACTCAAAAGTTTACTTTTCAGAAATCTGAACGAGTCTTGACCTGAGTCTTCTCTGTAACTTCGTACCTTTTTTATATAAGAGACATTTCCATTTCTTTGCTCTAATCATACTCCATAAGCTTCAAGTGGTGGATTTCTTTCTGTTTTCAGATTTGAGAAACACAGGTGTTTCATTTCCCTTTTTCTTATCTCCATCAAAATTGGATTTTTCATCTTAAAGAGGTAGATTCGTGCTTTTGTTGCATGATTTTCTAACTTTTGCTGCTGTTATTTTTGTCGGAGACCATGTTTTTTTGTCTCATAAACTGTTGTATATCTTAGTAGTGCCTGCTTTTCATCAAGAACAAGTTTTTGCTAAGATTACGAAAGTTTATGGAAGTTAAGTTTAAGTTTGTTATTCCGACACGAGCCTTTTTTTTTTATTTTTTTGTCCCAAATGCATTTTGGAACAGTAATTTGATGGGGAACGCGTGTGGTTAAAAAATAAGTAAATGTTTTTAAGTTTACTTGTAATATTAATTTGGAGAAATGTATTTTGAAAATAACGTGGAGGAAACAAGGCCTAAAGTGAGACTTTCTTTCACAAGAAAGTAATTTTTTGCGAAGGAAGATATCTAATTGCGTCAGAACGTCTGATGTATAAGCTGAAGGCAAGCGTCACATTCTAAGCCGGTTTTGCCGTTGTAGTTTGGCCCGTGGTATTAGGCTATCAGGGCATGTGTGTGCTAGGGATGGTTTGGATTTGTTTCTCTAGCCTTGTTTGGATGTCAAGTGCCTGGTGACTCGAGTCCTGGTTCTGAGGGAGATTGTTAACGTCAAATATCATTATAAGGTGGTTTTGCAGTGATGAGTTAAGACCCATGGACTTTAAGCTACACAACTTAGTAAAAGATAGAATTTAGAGTTGTTTGCTCGGAAAGTGTGGTAACGGAGACGGGAGAGAAATACGTATAATGTTTATGTTAAGGGGAATGGTTCGACTTATTTAAAGATTCTATACAGTTGTAAGTACTAAGAGAGTATTGGTGAAGGAATAGAGAAAGGAAAATGTTAAAAGTGATACGTAAACTCAAATATTTAGTAACATATAACATCAGTGGAAAAAGAAATGTTATTTATGATTACTTGATGTGGAGACATATGGGTTCAAATTCTACCTGTCCAATCTGCTGATTAGTGAAGCAATGTAAATGCCAATCCATGCTATCATGGTGTAGCCTGTCTACCACAGTAAGACCAACATCGTTTCACGTGAATCAACAGCTGTTCTTCGGCCACCAACTCAATAATTTGTGTAGCGGTATGTGGCAATGATGTGGGGTGTGGACAAAAGAGCATTCTCAAAACACTTCAGATGACCCTACGAGAAACATTTACTTAGTAAAAAAGCTAGCTAATCATCATTATTTGAAGAATCCTTGTGAATGTGGCTTGATGTAAATGGTTGAATTGGAAAAATGAAAATAATATGGTCAATGATCTTACTGTGAATTGCCGGAAGTCTCTTCCTGTTGTACTTAACCTGCTTGTTGCCTGCTTGTTTTTTTTTTCTTTTATAAGAAATAAATCTAGTGAAATCTGAATATATTGATTGTTACACATGTTGTGTTATCTAATAGTTTCATAGGTAGGGGTGACGAGGAAAGGAGCATCCTACTTAATTTAAAGGAATGACTCAAAAGAATAACTGTAGACAGAAAGCTATATGATGAACTCATTTGCATTTCTTTATTTTTATTTTTTCTCCACTTTACACCTTTACTTTACATAGGTTCTGAAAAATTAATTTGCATTCACTAATGAACTGAATCACATTACACTTCAAAATATATAAGCTGGTCTGGTTTTGTATTTATTGAATTCCGAGTTACAAAATTTGTTGATAGATGCCTGAACATTACAGTGTACCCTATTTTTATTTAGAAAGATAAGAAAGGAAGATCAAAAAGTATTTTAACTGTCATTTTTCAAGCTTGAGGGTGTTATCTTTATTTTCCCAAAACATTCAATTTGCTTCTAATTGTCAATGTTCGATATTACATTTATTTCTATTGCAGGCATATTATTTAAGAAAAATGGATTCTTCTGAAAAAGATGAGGTACCAATGCTATCAGCAACGTATTTGCAAGTCTACGAGGGCAATGAATCTTCAGCTAGGGGTTTTTCATCCAGGACCAGGAGTGCATCAATGTCTAATCCTGTGAACTCTATGGACTCCTCTGAATATGAAAACAACCTTGTAGGTTACACCGGTCCTTTAAGAAGTGAAAGAAGGACATCGTTTGTACAGAGGAGTGGTCCTTTATATGCCGGCCGTAGACATGTTGGCACCATTCAGTCTACACAAGGTTCTTCATGGCAGAAAAACACTGAGCCCAAAGTAGAAAAATATCCTTCAGTTAATGGAAGGGATCAGAGTGATTGGCCAGATGGGAACTACATGGGAAAAAATGAACATCTTTTGAGGTCTGGGCAACTGGGGATGTGCAACGATCCATACTGCACAACGTGCCCAACGTATTACAATTTTACGGGTAACCAGAAGAACTCGAGAATGTCTGATATATTTGATGCTAAGGTATTATGCACAATCTTTCTTTCTCCTTTATTTGAGGGGGTGGGGTGGGGGGGGGGGTTGAGGAATCCCAATTTATGTAGTGTTGTATCCATAAACAAGGTTATTTGATTGCCACGCTCCTAGCAAATCTATTAATCTAATCATATACCAGTCTAAGTCATATGTGCATAGAAATTAGAACTCTTACATCATTAATAATATGCTTGATTGTATGGACTTATTCTTCCAACATCAATAAATAGATTGTGATGAAGGTTCATATATATGTTTTTAAACCAAGCCACTCGATTGGGATTAGGGAATATAACTAACGAATATATCCTGAACAAATTGTGAATTGATAATATTACATAAAATAGAAGAAGTCTGACAATTTTAGTGTTTCAGAGGGAATGTGGTAGTTCTTTATAAAATAATGGGTGTGCTAGATATATATGAAATATGGCAAGTAGTTCTTCTCATAAAGTGACTAGTGACGTAACAAGTGAGCGCTCTGCTAGATAGTGATTTTTACGAACTTTTATTTTCTCAAGGAAAGATTTTCTCTGAGCCAGTTCATCAATTTGCTGGATGCTTCACATGTGTTCTTAACCTAGTTCAACTATTTGTTAAATTTCAAACTGTATAATTGATTGTTCTAAAACTAATTTCTTCCTGGCATCTTTCAGTTTTTTGGCATACAATTGCCTGCTTTAGACATGCAAAGTTAGTCAATTAGCTCATGCTGTTTGATTTTCATGTGTCTATTTGTAGTTCCGCAATATGATTTATGGAGATGCAAAAGGCTGGACCAAGAGAATGTATTCTTTTTTGCGTCGTTATATTCCAGGAGTCATGAATCCTCATACAAAAGTAGTTCAGCAGTGGAACAAGTTCTTTTTGATCTCTTGCTTATTTGCTGTATTTCTAGACCCGCTGTTCTTTTTTCTACTGGCAGTTTTGCAGGTAAATTTTTAAAAGTTGGTCGGTCTTATTATGCACTTGAATCCATCTTCAGAACACGTGCCTTCTATAACAATTAATAATTATTAAGTTATTTGGTTTCTCATTATAAACAACGGAAATCCGAACTGAAAGTGTGCAAGAAACACAGAGTGGTTTGTTTAAATAGATACATTTGGGGGGTCATTTACTATTCTAACTATAATATACTTTAGAAATTAGCATTTTTTTTACTGATTTAATATGTTCAACAAATAATTCATTAGTGTGATTTATTATTTATTAAGTTGGATTTTCACTTTATGAAGTTGTTAACTTGTTATCTACTTGGATAATATGCCATATTGAACGATCTCACTTGGAAAATATTCTGGCTATGCCACTTAGCAAGGTCAAAATTCATTCTCTGTTCTTCAAGTTCCGGGTGATGACCAAAGTTTCCTTTCAGATTTAGTCAGTAGGAACTGCAAAAGTTATATATTTTTTCAACTACACACTTGACTCGCTGAAATCAATGGATTCTTTCTTTTTTCTTCGTTCTGTTGAGATTTGACAAGTGATTTTCTGTCACTGTTCTAGTTCATTTTTTTTTTACAATATTAGTTGGAGTCTGTTGCAATATTCAGATTTATTGTTCAAAGTTGAGTGATGCTTTCCTTTAAGTTTAGGCTACACAATCAGTCTGTTTTATGCACTGACTTTGCTTTAATATAAATCAGTGTGCTCAATGGATACTTTTAAACATGAAAAAAAAAAAAAAAGGTCATTACAGCAAAAAAATGCAAGATCAAAGTATATCAACAAAGAAAGGCAAATGTAATATCTTTTTAAGCTCAAAAAATATATGAAGTTGTGAATAAGTAGCCAAGCATTTTGTATGGATCAAGTCTCCATTGAGAGCTCGTTCCTTTTTGGTGTTGTTTAATTAATAAGGAATGATTATTCTTTATTGTGGGGTGTTTGCTTCTAAGGTATTGCTTTAGAGGAATATGGATACAGAATCAGAATGGCAGATTTTGATTCTATCTGTTTAGTTTTCTGGAATCGAATTTGCCATTCCAATTTAGCTTGAAAATACATTCCCGTTGTTTAGAGTTTTTCGAACCATCTCTCAACCTAATTTGAAACTCTGAAGTTCCAATTAACGCACAGATTGATCAAAGGTCCCCAAGAGACCAAATAAGTGTTGTTCTGCCACTCATTGCCTGGTCCAGCTTCATGGGAAGCCGACCAATCACTTACATCTCTCTGATCCCCACACACAGTTGCACGCACATAGACATTGGCACATCTTTTCTTTTCTTCCTTTTGATTTATTTCCTTGTTTCTTCTTCTACCATGTTTCCCCTTTTCTGTTCAAACATATGCAAAATATTTCTTAGTCTAGGTAATGATAGCTAATGCTCAAAAATTATATCAAACCCACTTGTAGGAAGTTTATTGCTTGTTCTTCTTGTTCTTTTCTTGAAGGCTGTGGTGTGGGTGGGGTAGGGTGAGGGGAGCTAGTGGTGATTGAAATAGCGTTTGCTTTTGTTTTTATACAACCCTTATATCTGTTGGCAACTTCATATTCTTTTCCATTTTCATGTCTGTGTGCTCGCCTGTACATGCTCCTTTGCATGGTGATCTACGATTTACCTCCTGTTTCCTGTTTCTCTTTTTGGCTGGAGATATTCATATGCATATTTAAAAAACCCTTTCAGGTTTTATTGGGTTCATTCTTGCTCACACATTAGTGTTTGTCACTCTACACTCGTCAGATTGTTGCCTAAATATGATGGCTAAAATTACATTACTGATGAACTATGCCCTCTCAAGTTTACATTTTATCATTTTGGACCAGGATAAGAAGTGCATAGTATTAAATGGGCGCTTGACAACAACAGTTGTGGTTTTGAGGAGCATGACTGACTTCATTTACTTACTTCACATGCTTCTTCAGGTAACTTATTCCCACTGCTCTAATTGTTTCTCATGTAGTTTGTTATTGTTAGCAATTGGATAGAAAACTCGTTCTTTATTATACTCATCATTCCATCATTATCAATGTGCAAGGGAAGTGACAATATGGATGCTAATGACAAATTGCCAACTTCAAATCCTCGGTTATAGTTGCTAGTTAGTTTATTTCTTCTTATCTGAACTGATGTATTATTTTCTATGCTTGAAAACTCAGTATTAACATCATAACCAGGATCAGCCAGATCTGGACCCTTCTTTGAGCCATCCAAATATTCCATCTTGCCTTTACTCGTGAAGAAAAACTTAACTGATTTCGCCCAATGTGTAAGATTTTTTCCCATTGTCTATGAGATGTAATCTGGATGATAAACTCTTTTTAGAACCAGAAACTTGTCCTATGGAGGTTTCATTTCCCTCAAATATGACTGTGGAAATTATCTTCTGAGATACCAGGAATGAAGTCTGGTTAATCAACAAAAAAGATGAACCCCGGATTTTGATTATGGGGCTTTGATACCTTGAAGGGGAAGTTAATTAATAATGATTGTGTTTGTATATTCTATGTGATTACATTTCAATTACATGGAATTATTGAAAATCAAAGGCTAGAAAGTAGGAGAAAAATGCTTTCATATCAACGCATTCATCTAATTCTGGAAACAAGTCATCACAATTCGTCCCAAAATATCTGAAATGTTTTCTGGCGGGACATGTCCAATGTACAACCTAGTATGTCTCCACATTCTCAACTATTCCCAAATCAAACTTCTATTCATATTTATCTTAAGACCAGACTTGGATGGATGTGAGGTATTATAATGAGCCTTCAAAAATTTCCTAAAACGCAAAGTGATATTGGCAAATAATAAATGTAAAAATGCTGCCCTATAGGTGAAGACTTTAAAAAGTCCTAGGATGATATGAAAATGAGCATCTGAAGCTCACAAAAAACCAACTGTTTTAGGCAAATAGTAACCTTGAGAGCGAAATCCTCTCCTTAGCCCTCTCCACTAAGAAATATATTTTGTATATAAGTTAGATCCTAATCGTGGATTTACAAATCGTATTGGAACATGTATAATTCCGAAAAAAAGAAAAGAAAAAGACATAGGAAATCACTTGTATATAGAACAGTATAGACCAGAAAAACACAACTAAAGGAATTGTTGTTTATGCAATAATCGAATTCTTTTCTGTTTGAATGCATGGCCAGATATCCCATTTTCATTTTGCAGTTTAGGCTGGCTTATGTTGCTCCTGAATCTAGAGTGGTTGGAGCTGGAGATTTAGTTGATGATCCAGATAAGATCGCCCTGAATTATCTTTCTGGATACTTTATCATCGATTTCTTTATTGTATTGCCGCTTCCACAAGTAAGGATCCTCCCCTCATTGCTCTTCTGCTGCATGATAATGATGTGTTTTTCTAGCATTATTTTTTTCACAATTTTGGTATCACGAAGCACGCAAGGTATCAGACAAAATAGAAAATTGTCTCTGTCAATTGTCAGGTGTGACACATTGGATTTCAGTCTAAATCTACCGGTCTAATCTTAATTCTTAATTTTAGATATATTTTATAAGTAATAAAGGAATAATATCATTATTTTTTGTTTTCTTTTGTGGTTTACCAACCTTCATTGGATTTTACAGCGTGTACTTCATTTAAATTAGGTTAATACATTGGCCAACCTCCTAAAACTTTTCAGTTGTCACACCAGTTTATGTGTTATTCTCTCCCTCTTTTCTATTTTTTCTGGATTTTGTTTGAAAAGTTCTGTAGTCGTGATTCACCAACTTAACGTGTAAGACTGACACTGGAGTGTTTGCTTTGTGTAGATCATTATACTGTTGATATTGCCCAAATCCATGGCATCTTCTGGGGCTAATTATGCGAAAAATATGTTGCGGGTTGCCATTCTTGTTCAGTACATTCCTAGGTTGTACAGATTTTCACCTTTGCTTGTAGGTCAGTCTCCGACTGGCTTAATATTCGAGTCAGCTTGGGCAAATTTTGTCATAAATCTTCTCACATTTGTGTTGGCTGGCCATGTGGTGGGTTCATGTTGGTATCTCTTTGGCCTACAGGTTTTCCTTGTGACTTTAATAGCTTTCCTCATTTAATATCTGCTTTGCATAAGTAAAACCAATTTTAACATGCTTTCAATATTGCAAATGCTGTATACCCTAATTACAAGTGTAGAAATAATGGAAGGAATAATTTTATTCACTTAATTCAATCTTACAAATCTATGCCACTATATACATAGTACAATACAATGAAGAAGAAAAGGAAAATAATATGCTAATCTAGGAAAGTAAAGATATTACCCTAATTTTCTGATTATACTAATATTACAAATCATCCCATAATTGATTCGGGATTTCTACAACAAGAAACGTCTAACGTCAGAATAACGTCTACCTTTGTTTTATGTGTGTCTCATAATTCAAAGTGCATGCTTTTTCCTTCTTTCTCCTCTTGTTTTGGCAAGATTCATTTTTTTTCTGGAATTCCTGTTTAACATGACGGTACTACACTAAATTATAGCACCTGTAAAAGATTCTTTCTTTCTGATTTTGTTATGATTTCTTCACAGAACATGCTTTATTTCCGTCAAATGATGCTTGTCACTTGAAAATCGTTAACGTAGAACTAGTTCATTAACTGTAATTTTCCAGCATGATACACATTGAAATGCTGTTCTTCCTACTGTAGACTGATTATTTGTAGACTTGCTTATCTCTAGAGAGTGAATCAATGTCTTCGAGATGCTTGTCGTAGCTCCAACATTCCAGGATGTAGGGAATTCATTGACTGTGGGCGTGGACATGAATTAAATGATTATAACAACTCAACACGGGAGCAATGGAAGAGCAATATAAATGCAACTGCCTGTTTTTGGGAAGACAGTTTCCCATATGGAATTTATACCCACGCTGTCAATCTAACCACCAAGCAAAGTGCCACAACAAGATACGTGTATTCATTGTTTTGGGGGTTCCAGGTATCTTTGCATGATAACATTGTTTGAATTTTTCCTTTAAACAGAAGGCAGTTTAAGTATGCTAAGCTGAAATATATTTGGAGATGTTCATGCTAAAACTTAAAAAGAAAATGGACAATAAATGTTCTTTTTATGCTTTTGTGGTAATGTCTCCTGGGCGAAGTCAATTCATAAGTGTGTCATGATGCATTGATTTCGTTGAGGCAAAGATTTAACAAATAATAGAATAAATTTCCTTGAATCAGATTGAAGCTGTATTTATTCAATTATTTTTGTGAAAGCTCATTTCAAGTGCTTTAAGGCTTAAGAAAAGAGCGTTAGGATATACAGATTTTTTTGGAGTTCAATTCACGATCATTAGAATGTGGTATGACTTTGTCAATGGTTAAAGGCTAAAGAACACATACTTTGAAGAAAGAATGGTTTTTCATTTAAGTAAATTCTGATCCAAGTGTTGGCTTCCTTCTGTTTAAATTGTTCATAAGAAGAAAAGAGAAGTCTGATGAATGCAGGCTCATTCATGTCTGAATTTTCTGACTTCATACAGTAGCATCAGATTTGATCTGGTTTTTAAATTTCTGCCAATTATAAATGAAGATATATAGTAACTGAAGAAGAAATTAAACAAGCTGAGCATTGAAGAAACATTCTTGAAGTTTTGTGCAAATTACTCGAAGTCATACTTGTTTTGTTGAAAATGCTAATTTTCCTACTGAGACCATTTATCTTGTGGTGGTTTACGAAGCAAATTAGTACCCTGGCTGGGAATCAAGTTCCAAGCTATTTTGAATGGGAAGTCCTTTTTACAATGGCCATTATTGGAATGGGGCTCCTGCTCTTTGCTCTGCTGATAGGAAATATGCAGAATTTTCTCCAATCCCTTGGGCGCAGGTAGCATGTTTGTGTATCCATGCTATACATTTGACATGTTATAATATTTTTTAAAACGAGATTTGCTAAATTTCAGAGGTTTAATTACCTTATTAATCATTATGCCACAAATATGTGCTTCAATATAGCAGTTGCATTCTCCCACCATAGATTTTTTCACCAAAAAAGCGTAGTTTACATCTCATACATGGCTTATCCACGCTCTGTTAAAAAATGGTAATAATAAAAAGAATAAAAACATAATTTCTCTTGATCATTTTATAATGTTAGTTGACATCATATTTTCTCAAGTTGAAAATATAGCTGTCAGCTGACACTTGCAGTGAATTCTTTTTTCTTTTGTCAGGAGGTTAGAAATGTCTTTAAGACGCCGTGATGTTGAGCGGTGGATGAGCCATCGTCGCCTGCCCGTAGAACTGAGAAGGTGCCATCTTGATTTCCTTTACTTTTGACGATTATTTTTAACCCTTTTTTTCTCTTTATTTATAAAAAAAGGCATAATTCTATTCTTCATTTCCAATTTAAATATTATTTCAACATGCATCCCTGTGGTGCTTTTTTGTTACAGTTACTTATGTTCAAGGTCATAGTGGATTGCATTGGTATAAGATAATAGTATATAAAAATTGGTAATTATTTTTCCTTGTTACTTTCTCAGTGTGCAGAGTTCATGAAGATGTGATGTAATTTGTTCTTGTGTGAATGTTGGGAGGCAAACCATAATGAACCTAATAACCCTTTTTATTTCTTCTGGTTCCTCAGGGCTTCTGTGAAAAGGTCTTATAGTTTGCTGCTATGGGCAGGTTTTGTTGTAAATATCTTCTCAAATGCATTTATTAATAAGGGCTTTTAAGAAGTAAGCAAACTTGAGTGTATCTCATACTAACGAGACTTGTTTAGCTAAAACTTGATCAATTGCTAGGAATTCTGCTTCTTCATCTGTGTTTCTATCTTGTAGTTTCTAAGTTATAGTTCTCTTTCGTCATTGCTGCTGTAACTATATTTTTTACTGCTATTATTGTTGAAAGATTGTTCCTCCTTACCTTGTCTCTTAAGCATACGCTTCTACAGCAGCATATGACAACAAACTATTTTTTATATATATATTTGATAAAATAAATAGTTTTATCAATTTTAAAAGCAAAAGTATGACTATCACGAGGATATTGTATCCTCTAATCATCAAATAAAATAAAGGGCAATTCCTTGCCCTTCTCACTAGTCAGTGACAAAAAATCCAAATCTAAATGTTTTTCAATTTTTTTGTCTAAAGTGTGGCCTCAGTAGACATAAATTGTCTAATTAAACGTTGTCTCCAGAAAGGTAAAATGCCATGTTTCATCTGTTGTCTTTAATGATCTTGGGGTTCATTCCTCCATTTGTCCAATTTTGGGTTTAATACTTTTAGACTTCAAAGAATTATCGACCTACTTCTGCTATTAAACTATCAACTGCTCAATGATGAGCTACAATTTTTTCTATAATTAACTTTTGCTAGTAGAACTCTAAAATGCAATTGTGATCTGAATCTTCATTCGATCATTTTAATTGTGGATATGTATTTTTGGCATAGAGTGCAACCTCTAAATTCAGACAAAATGTATGATAAATTTTCCATGCAGGCAAGTTCAACAAGCAGAACGTTATAATTGGGCTGCCACCAGAGGGGTAAATGAAGAAATGCTACTGGAGAATTTACCTGAAGACCTTCAAAGGGAAATACGGCGTCATCTTTTTAAATTTGTTGAGAAAGTAAGTTCCTACTGATCAAAAATAGATGACGCGAAACAAAACCCTAGAACGGGAGATACTAGGGCTGTACATGGAAGATCACGTTAAAGCAAAGAAAAGACAGCATACCACTTGAACCTATATAGGATAAAGACAAGGCTAATTGATCAAGCTTTTAGATGAGGTAGCCATTCCATATAGTGTTTGAGCAGGCAAATACCCCAACTCTGAGTTTTGCCATACCTTATTTACAAAATTTATGAAGAAAATGAATTTGTACTGCATGTGAGAAGGCGTGTTGGAGATATAAATATAAAATAATAAATTCATCTCCTCGAATCTACTCTTTTAAATGACGCGATCATTCAATACATGATGATCTGTTGAAGTATGAGGTTTTTCCCTTGTATAGTTGAGTTCATTGGGATCTTGTGCTTCAGGATTGGTCCAGGTTATAATAAAACATTTTGCAATCGGTTTCTAATTGCACAAATCTCCATCTCCATGGTCTATTGTTTTTGTTTGACTATATTATGGACTCTTCATCGTCTGATAAAATTGCTGGTATGTTGTCATTTTAAAGGTCCGAATTTTTCAACTTCTGGATGAACCTGTCATGGATGCCATAGGTGAGAGGCTACGCCAAAAGACATATATTAAAGGAAGCAAAATCTTATATCACGGTGGTCTGATAAACAAGATGGTGTTCATAGTTCGGGGGAAAATGGAGAGCATTGGGGAAGATTTGATTGCAGCTCCCTTGTCTGAAGGAGATGCTTGTGGAGAAGAACTTCTCACATGGTGCCTTGAGCATTCTTCTGTAAATAAAGGTACAAGTACGACTAGTCCTCTCTTTTTAGTAACTTTGCTTGTTTGCTTTGTTTTTGGCTACTGGAACTTGAATTGCTGCATGTTAAGAAAGGCAATTTTAGAGAGTTGTCATTTTGCCTGTTTAAATAAGACAGGTAACTCCACATTCAGACAGGTAAACTTTACCTGTATCGTTTTCATGGAAATTTATCTTAGACAGTGTTTGTTTTCACAATAAATGAGTTGTTTCATTGTCATGTTTACGAATAAATTGATACTTACATTTGCTTCAATCATTTTATAAGCTATGAAACATGAGTTATTATAATTCTAAAGTTGATCAACTACAAATAATCTGATCTTCTATCTATTTACTTGAAAATTTGAAGCTACATCGTTAGAAATGTCGCAAGCTCTTTTACCTGCTAAAATAGATACAGGGAATCTTTCGAGGTATTCACAGAAATTCTTGGTACAGAACTGTGTGAAGATTGAACGCTCAATCATCAGAATTCACTTTAGGCTTAAGTCTCTTCGTTGATCCTTAGATAAGTAATTATTTTGAAATCTACTACAAAGAATTGATTCATCAGATCTGCTGCATGGATAATGTTTTCCTTAAAAAATTATGTATGTGCAGCCAGGGTTGTAGGAACCAAAGAAGTGAGAGTAGTACCAACTGAACATAATTGTATTAGGAAAATCATACTACACATTTTCTTTTATCTTTTCTTTTTCAGATGGAAAAAGAATCAGGATTCCGGGACACAGATTACTGAGCAATAGGCTTGTGAAATGCTTAACAAACGTAGAGGCATTTATATTGCGAGCTTCAGACCTTGAAGAAGTCACCAATCTTTTTGCAAGATTCTTGAAAAGTCCACGTGTTCAGGGGGCCATAAGGTAATTTCTACCTGTGTGAATCTTAACAAATTCTTGAAATTGATTATTGAAGAATCTCATAGGGAATTAACAACCAAATGTCAAAAGGGGACCTGGTTTACACAATCCCTATAGCCTCTCTCTTATCACTTAGGCCTTGTTTGAGCCACCTTTTTGTAGAATGAGAATGAAAAATATAGTCGTTATTGGGGTCCACACAAGAGATAGAAAAATTGAATTTAAATGTTGATGTGATAGATAACGGTCATATTTTTCATTTTAATGAGAAAATAAGGTGGCCCAAACGGGGGCTTACTACCATTTAGTAATCTATCTATAATTTTATTCTGTTATTCTAAACTTTATTGGGAAAATATAACTTTTCTCCTGTCAAACTTAAATGATGTAAATATTAGAGCTCACTTGATCTCCTTGGATAAGCATGCTTACTAGAGTGGAAGCAATAAGGCAGTTTGTAGGTGTCCTACTAGCCTAAACACATTTTGAATCATTTTGTTTTTATGGAAGTTCAGACCTGCCTCAGTCAATTTAACAATATATATCTCCACATAGCAGTTCTCAACAGGAAGTAATAACGACTTTATATTACGAGAAACTTTTTTTTTTTTTTTTCATAATTTAAGGAAAAAAAGGGATAGTGTCTTCGAACACAGCTTCTTTATATCTGTACGGAGTAGTCTCACTCTTTAGATATATGTTCCACTGCAGATACGAATCACCTTACTGGCGAGGCTTAGCAGCAAGACAAATTCAAGTTGCATGGAGATATAGGAAGAAGCGAATAAGTCGTGCAGACACCTCTAGCTCAAAACCTGATCATTGATCTAGACCCAGCCATTTACTTAAAGTGGCATACATAAATTTCATGTGGTATATTTCCATTAGTACCTCGTGGCAATATTATGATATCCATGGTAAAATTTAAAATACAGCACATAACTTGTATCTTTACCAAGGATAATAATTATGTAAAAAAATCTAGAAATATTTTGGCTTGAATGGATATTATATGTATCTTCTGTATCGATAGTACTTTGTTAGATTAGCGGTCTTGAGATATCGGAACAAACAACCCAAGGAGAACGACGAAAAAAACATGTACGGATGGAAAAATGTTCACGCTTTTCAGCAGGTTTTAGTTACTGATGGTGGATGCAGAAATAAGAGTATCTCGTGCTTGTGTTGATGGCTTCTTGTAGTTTCTGATAATCTTGTTGCTATAAATCTTTCGGTATATATATTTTTTAGTGATATGATGGTGGATGATAATGTTCTGTGCATGTATTCATGACTAGTTGTGGTTGCTAAGGATACCATTTAGTAGTTCTTTTCGTTGATCGTGCATATCAGTAGTGTTTATTGACAGAGTTGAATGTAGGATGCTATTATGTTGTGCATGTGTTCGTGTCCTGCTGTTGCTAATGATCTAGCAATGAACCGAAAGGGGTAGTGAAAGGATTTAAATAATCGACCCCAAATGTGTTGAAACGAGGCTAATTTGTTGTCCTTTATGAAATAGGTCGATATAACAACCTATTCTGTTTTGCATCAAAGGCTACATTGATGGTATTTTATTTGTATTTATGGAGGCATCTTAGAAATCTCAATAATCACCAACATAAACAGTTGAGGAATGTAATATTTTGAATGAGGGGGTGGGTGGGGTGGAGACAGTTAAGTTTGTACAATGCTTCCCTTTTCCAAATCAACGCTCCTAAAGAGTTTAACAAAAAACATTATAATTATTGAGCTTTATTCCATCTGTATTCCTTGTCATGATATTCCAAACCCCGATGGGTGTATATACATGAGAGTGAGAGAGAGAGAGCTCAAAGGTTTGGCATTTTATGTAAATTTTATTTTCGGTAATTATACATTTACTTAGTGTCAATCAAGTATTATAGCTCAGTTTTATTCAGTAAGGTATTTGCATTTTAAATTGATTTAAATTGTGTAAAGTTATTTTAATTTGATTTCATTTAGGCACTGTTTAATTGTCACATTTTTCAAGAAAAATGTTCCATCCGAGGAAAACGAATTTCACTTTGACCGTTTGATTGTAACGTGAAAATTGAAACCGAATTTCAAGGTAAAACCACTTTAAAAGCTACACTTTCTTTGTTTTCATGGAAAATGAATTCCTATCAGTTTGGTGGGTTTTTATGTTTCAACTAACGTGGAATTTAAGTTCTTTTTCACATTTGCCTGTCAAACGGACCCTTAAGGTAATTTTATCCAATTCTATCAAGAAATTGATAGTGTTGCAATCAATAAGTGACGGTCATCACAATTAATTATTATATTTTGGATGGTGGTTGGTTTACACCCAAATTAAATGTTTTATTTTTATTTTTATTAGGATGCTGTAAACCTAATGGTTGGAGAACTTAAAATGAATTGCGAACAATTCGACCTCATAAGCAATGCTTTACTATTATTTTAGTTAGAAATGTTAAAATGGTTGGTTAGGTTTTATATTATTGTTAAAGGTGCCATAAGATTGAAAAAAAAAAATCGTAAGATGTTTTTTAGCATTAGCACTATTATTTATGCTAACATGTGAAAGAAAAGTGGCTAAGAAAGTACGCATTATCCAAAAATTAAACTAAGGAAGGTTTGAATATTTTGTTTTAAAAAACGAAGGGGTGTCTCGAAAATTGTAATAAACTTCAGGTGAGGTATGCGCCGTTCACTTTTTTAAAAGGGGGTGAGTTCTGTGAAATTTTCATAAACATGTATGCGTCATTCAAAATTTAAAATTAGAAAGATTTGTATAATTTTTGAAAAGTGGGGAATGTCTCTTAAATTCTCGTAAACACGATTGTCTCTATAATTTGAACTTTTTTAAAGTATAACAATTTTTTTTTTGCTTAGTTAAAATAAAGGAATAAAACAAAATATATATATAGCATGAGAGACAATGGCGAAATAGAAAATTTATGCCAAGAAAAAGGTTTATGCAAGTTTTTAAAAGAATTATGCTGTTTGTACACTCATTTTGACACTCGATGTGTTGTTAAGAAATAAGTAGATTTAAAAAAAGAAAAAAAAGCTGAATGTACAGCATTTTCACACAGTAAGTTGTGGGCCCCACTCCCTATGTGAGAGGGCTGTCAAACTTATTGTGTAAANTTTATTTTTAATAATAAATTTTATTTCATTCGTAATTTTTATTCATTTTAAATTACACGTTTCAAGAGACCGATAAATTTTTATCGACTTTATTTACTTAAATATATTAATTTAAAAAACAGAAGAGGACATATTTGTCATTACATCTCGCTTATAAACAGTAGCACGTTTTATTCACAAAAATGAATACCGAAAATGGAAAACAGAGAGAATGTATTATATCCTATATCATCGACTGATGTACGGAAAGTCAGCATATAATAAAAAGGGAAAATTGCACCATTAGCTTCTTCTTTATCGTTCCAACAACAAATTAGTTGTCAATCTTAAATTATTATTGCAATATTACACTTTAACAATGGAAACCCTCTAAATTTCCATTAATGGCAAATGACCCTTGTGAAAAATATGCTTCATTTAAACTTTCTAGTTACCAATGCGAGATCGAAAATTTAGCCCCTGTTTGTCAGGGATTAAAATCAATTCCTAGTAGATTTCGATAAAAAATGATGAATTCATGAAATATGTGGTTAAAATCGATTGTTGACTTTGACTTAAATTAAAATATAAATTTTAATCACTCAAGAGTCCAAGAACAGACATAAATTCGACTAGGGGCATTGATATGAAAAGGATAATACACCAAGTGTTGAACTAAAGATCGAATTGATGATGAAATATTTAATAAAAATGAAGAAAAGTTCTCTTTTTTAAAAAATGAACCGGGGTGAATTAGTTGATTTTCGAGATGAACCAACCAGTTTAAGGTCATTTCATAATTTCAGTTACTCATATATAGCAACGAATAGAACCCATTTTTTCGTTAAATTGTCGAATGCTCCATTTAAAATTTCCATACAACTACAGAAGTTGGAAAATAGAATTGAAGTGTGAGGATTATTCGATAGCCTCCGGCATGCGACTGATTGTGCAATAATAACAAAAAAGTTAAAGACCAATTTTCTATTGAAACAATAAGTTGAGGACTAGCAATACAATTTCCTCGAAGACAAATTTTGAAAGAAGAAAAAAACCACTTGAAAACCTCTCGATGCGCTGTAGCCTGTAGGTACGTACGTACGTAGAAGGTAGGAGTACTATTTATTACGGGGTGGCTGATGAGGAGCCTTCTTTTCTCAATCTTCTCTTAATTACACACACCTTCCTCCCCAGATTTCTCTTCATTTCCATAGCGTTTCACCTCCACCCACCCCATTCTTTTTCTCTCTTCTATGCACTAAATGCTTATATATATACATATGTGGAGGTGTGTGTGTGAATATGATTTAATGAAACAAGGCCAGTGGGGTTCAACATTCAAAATTTCATTTGTTGGTGAAGTAATCTTGTTATTATGACTTTTTTACTGTTCTTTTCATTATTTTTGTAATCTGTTATTTGATTTACTTATTACAGCAATCTCAGTTATTACTGTAATATTATGGGAATAGTTGATTTACCAGAGTTTCTTGAATGTAAGTACTGTCAGTAGTATTACCACCATTATTATTATATGCACCAGAGGTTTTGGTGAGGATCAAGGAATGGAGTTTGGTTCCGGAGGCGATGATTTTGGCGGTGGCGACCACCGGGATTCTGCTGATCCTCACCGGAGGAAAAAGCGTTATCATCGGCACACTGCCCACCAAATTCAAAGACTTGAAGGGTAAGGCCTTTTAATTATTTTAGCAATCCCATGCATAAAAGGCTTGCCTTGTTGATTCCAGCACCTAAATCGGTTTTAAGGGTGCGTCGAGAGTGCTTGTTTTGACTACCACTGTCATAAACTAGTTATTAGTTCTTGCTCAAAAGGGCCCTCCGCTTTCTTCGTTATACTTGAGTTTTAAGCTTTTCTTTTTTCTTTTTATTTTTTTTATTTGGTAAAATGAAGGGCGTTCAAAGATTGTCCCCATCCAGATGAGAAAACAAGGATGCAGTTAAGCAGAGAGTTGGGTTTGGCTCCTCGCCAAATTAAGTTTTGGTTCCAAAACAGAAGGACTCAAATGAAGGTTCATTTTTCCTTTTCTTTTACTTCAGTTTTATCTGTAAGATGATGTTTGGCCATGCTTAAAAAAGAGACGCGAAGAAAGGCAGCTAAAAAGCATATTTTAAGTGCAACTTATCATATCCTCTAAGTCTATGGTGTTTACTATAAGCTATGTAGACATTTGCTTGTACTTCCCTTCGCTAGTATGTTAAAAATGCAAATTTTGTCACGGTATAGGCACAATATGAAAGAGCAGATAATAGTGCACTTCGGGCAGAGAATGACAAAATCATGTGCGAGAACATAACAATCAGAGAGGCACTCAAGAATGTGATCTGCCCTTCTTGTGGAGGACCTCCAGTCTCAGAAGATCCGTACTTAGAAGAGCAAAGACTGCGAATGGAGAATATCCAGTTGAAAGAAAAGGTTAATCTTAATTTTTTTCAGTTTTGATTCCATCTTCAAGAAGATGCTTATTAAGTTGTAGTCTATTTACCAAGTATTTGTAAATCGTATTGCATTATTTACAGCTTGACAGAGTTTCAAGCGTTGCCACCAAGTACATAGGCCGGCCCATTTCACAACTCCCACCAATGCAGCCTTTTCATGTATCGTCATTGGATTTATCCATGTCGAGTTATGGAGGGCACGGAATGGTTGGTCCTTCGCTTGATCTTGATCTTGATCTTCTTCCAGGAAGCTCGACCGGTGCTTTACAAAAATTTCTTTTCCCTACAATGAGCATTTCAGACATGGATAAATCCCTCATGGCTGATATTGCTGGCAATGCCATGGATGAATTGATTAGGCTTTTGCAAACCAATGATCCACTTTGGATGAAATCAGATGATGGAAGAGAAGTTCTTATTCTCGAAAACTATGAGAGAATTTTCCCCAGGCCTAATACTCACATGAAAAATCCCAATATTCGAAATGAAGCTTCAAGAGATTCTGGTGTTGTGATAATGAATGGCTTGGCATTGGTTGACATGTTTATGGACACGGTTAGTTTTTCTTGATCTTTATTTTCATAGCATTTCCCATTTTTGTACTTTACTCTGTCTTTCTTATCAATTATAGACTGTCATTCTGAAATGTTCTGCTTAATAACAGAGTAAGTGGATGGAATTATTTCCTACAATTGTTTCAAGGGCAGTAACACTTGAAGTAATATCATCAGGAATGCAGGGAAGCCAAATTGGCACATTGCAATTGGTAATAATCCCCTGAGCAAAAAATTTCTTCCTCAATTTTGTTTGCAGTTCATTTTAATAGAATTACTATTTTGGTAGATGCATGAAGAGTTGCAGGTGCTTTCGCCATTGGTGCCAACTAGGGAAATCTGTTTCCTTCGGTTCTGTCAGCAAATTGAGCAAGGCTCATGGGCAATTGTCGACGTTTCATATGATCTTCCCAATCAAGAGAACCAATTTGCTTCTTCATGTAAAGCTCGCAGGCTTCCTTCTGGATGCTTGATACAAGACATGTCAAATGGTTATTCCAAGGTTGAATATTAGCATATTCAATTACATTTCTATCACTCTGTTTGGTAATTTAGTAAGCAATACGGACATTTACACAACCCTTTTTGTTGTACAAATGATAGGTTACTTGGGTCGAAAACTGGGAAATAGAAGATAGAGCCACAATTCATAGGCTTTATAGAGATATTATTCACAGTGGATTGGCATTTGGAGCAGAAAGATGGCTTTCCACTCTTCAAAGGATTTGTGAAAGATTTGCTTGTCGTATGGTTACTAGCAATTCGAATCGTGACGTTGGAGGAGGCAATTCTAGACTATTTCTATTCCAAAATTATGTTCAAAGTGATCAATTTTACGTTTTCATTACTAATTTTCCTGATGCATTCAATGTACAGTAATTCCATCACCTGAAGGGAAAAGGAGCATGATGAAACTTGCCCAGAGGATGATCAGTAACTTTTGTGCAAGTATCAACCCGTCTAATGGCGAACGATGGACGACACTTTCAGGGTCGAATGAGTTTGAAGTGCGAGCAGCACTTCATAAGAGCACTGATCCTGGCCAGCCTAATGCTGTGGTACTTAGTGCAGCCACTACAATTTGGCTTCCAGTTTCTGCACAAAATGTCTTCAATTTCTTCAGGGACGAGAGAACTCGACCTCAGGTCAGGATTAAACTTCGTACCAACATCATTATTTAAAATTCAGCTTATCTGGTTTATGCAAGACAATGGTGTTTATATTTTCATATTGTTTATAAATATAGTGGGATGTTCTTTCCAATCAAAATCCTGTTCAAGAAGTTGCTCACATATCAAATGGAGCTCATCCAGGGAATTGTATCTCTGTCCTTCAGGTAAAATTCCTCTCCCTAATCATCAGTCTGTCGCATTTTTCTAGAGCAACAAAATTTTTATTCTCTTGGCGACAACATAAGCACATGTTTGGTATTAGTACTTGAAAAAAATGGCTCGCATAATGAACGATTTTAGCTTTTTTTTCTTATTTATGACAAACACGCCGGCTTTGGTTAACTGGTTAACATGTCAACTATGAATTCTTAAACCAGACTCTCAACACTAACCAGAACATGCTGATACTCCAAGAAAGTTGCATAGACTCGTCAGGTTCACTTGTCGTGTACTGCCCGGTCGATCTTCAGTCCATCAACATAGCAATGAGTGGGGCCGACCCTTCGCCCATAGCGCTGTGGCCTTCCGGGTTCACCATCTCACCAGACGTTCGGCAACAAGGTCAACTTCATGCCGGAGGAATTGATCGTGGAGCCTCAACCAGTTCAAACACCAGCAATGGTGGTTGTTCATCAGGTTCACTTGTCACGATAGCGTTTCAAATACTAGTGAGCAGCTTACCATCAGCCAAAATGAGCCAGGAATCAGTGACCACTGTTACTAACCTTATCAGCAACACTGTCAGCCAAATTAAAGCTGCCCTGAATTGCACTGCTTTCTGATAGGTGGATTAGACAGTACAGTAAGTATAATATAAATCAAGAAAACAAAACTGAAATCTTGTCTATTATACCGTTCGATACTGTTTAATACTACATACCAATACCAAACGCGCAGTTATTCGTGTTGGATGGTGGTAATGAATGGAGAAGAGAACCTAATTGGTTAGTTGGGGATTTTGAATGCTACTGTGCTGCTGTCTGCTGCTGTTTTTGCTGCCAAGTCTCATTACAATTCACAACCACCTCAAGTTGTCATTTTTTATCCTAGTTTTTTTATAGATTTTTCTTTCTTTCTTTCTTTTTTTGAATTTTCAACATATGACTTACTTAGGAACGTCTTATTTTATATGATATTCTTCCTGTTCTTTGCATGTCTAATTTTATGAAGTTAAATTTCACACCAAAACACGGGTGATGTTTAGAAGATCAAAGTGAGGCAAATTTTTAGGAACGTTAACATGACAATAATAGTAAAGATTTTGTCATTTGAACTATATGTCAATGAAGATTAATTGTACAGCAATAATAAATTTTGAACATCAATTTGTCACAGAGGTAGACAATTTATAATGTGTGGTCCTATGGAAATTAATTAAGACTGGCATGAATCTAAAGTGGGGTAATAATAATGACAGAGTGGGTAGTTTAATAGTTATTTTCAATTAACTAATTTAGTGCACCACGAAAAGTCAAGTCTTGGGGTCAGAATGCAATACATTTGGTTGCATGAATTGTTTTTTTTTTTTTTAATAATAATAATAATAATAAATAAAAGAACTCGTATTGAAATAAAGAAATAAGCAATTATGGTAAAGGACTTTGCTATAGGTACAAGAATTCAAATTCATGTACTTACAGTTACAGACAACACACGACATTTGGGGGAGGGGGGAATTTTTGTTTTTTTCAATATTTTATACATGGGGTCCACTACATGTGAGTTGGAATTCAAAAATCTGGTCCAATTCTGGTAAAAATTATCTGTACTTGAATCATTTTCCTATGGTAAATTCGTATGATGGAGCTTTGACCTTTAAATTGACTTTTTCAAGAAACTTGACCTCCAAAAAAGATAAATTGTCTAATAATTTTGTCTATTTTTCTTCTTTCTTTAAATTAAAATCGAGACACGAGAAACATACACACTAATTAATAAAATATAGAAAAGTAACCTAGTAAAACATAAAATGCTTCAATGATTATTATAACTAAGCCTTGACCTATTGAACTAAAATAATAAATAAAGCAAAATCATACAATTATAAAATAAATATAATAATGAAAACAAAATTTCTAAACGTAAAAATACGAACTAAAGACCCACCTTAAATGCTTATTTGACACTCAACTCTATTTTCAATGAACGGAGTATAATTTTGGGGGATAATTATAGTCGCGATCTTAAATCTTTCAATTTCTGGAGGTTTACTCAAATATTTGATTTGTAGTAGTGTTGGTTTCAAACCTTTCAACTTGTGTGGCGGAAGGAATTTCGTCTAATATTCGATTAGTTGACCAAGAGTCGGCTTTTGCCCATAATTTGACCAATTTTGAAAGGGTAAAATGGTATATCAACCTTTCATTTAATTTGCATCAGAAGTTCCAAACCTTTAAAAACTTGCAACCGAGGTCCCAATTTTTTAAAAAATGTGTGCAGAAAGGATCTTTAACAATTTTCATCCAAAATTCTATACGTTGATTTTATGTTCATATTCCTCGATCCATACAACCACCCAACCTCAACCACAATGTCTAACCTCTAACTCACTCAATCACACCCATTGATAGGTGGGGAGCCTCCATCATCTCCATCTCCATCTCCATCTCCATCGCCTCTGTCGGCTACTATTGATTTTGAAGAGAATTTATTTATCTTTATTTATTTTTTAGCTCTTTGAAGGTTCTTGTTAAAAGGAAACGGTGGGGGTGGAGGTGGAGGAAATGAGGTTGCGGAGAAGGTTCTACGCCATCTTTTTTTCTTTTTGGTACTTGCGCACTCATTAACTTAGGAATGATGTGTATAACTTGCTCCAAGTATAACTTGATCACTCTGAAAAAGGCTTGACACATGATTGCATCCAATGCTATATGTTCGATAAAGATGATGAACAAATCTCTCTTGACGCACATGTGATTAATGTTGGGCATCTTGAATAGTTCAAAGAACGGGACCAAACCTAAATGGCAGTGTCCTTTGTTTTTATCTATCTGGAGTACCCCAAAGATTTTCCATCCTCACCCCCCGACAGTGTCCCATCATTAAAGGTGGAATAAGAAAGTCCTTATTATCTAAATCTAAAGTTTCATCATTCTACTCAATAAATCTCATGTTCTCTTTGCTTTAAGCCGCTATTTCACGAGGGAAAGCAATGCCTACTTCATTTTTTATACTATAATTTAGCAAGCAGCTTGTGGAGAAAAATAAGTGTTAGACAGATAATCAGGGCTTCCAATAAACGTTTCTCAGAATCTGTAAAAGAGAAAAAAGGTGAAACCTGACTCAAAGACAAGGAACTTTGAATCCTTTTTATACATATACATTAATTGATAATGCTAGTGTTCATTGGAAGAAGAAGAAGAAGAAGGTGAAATTTGTGAGTGATCTGGTGTGGTGTGGCGTAGTGTAGTGTAGTAGGTAAAAGGTATGGCCCCAGTTGGATTGCCTCCAGGTTTCAGGTTCCATCCGACTGATGAAGAACTTGTCAACTATTATCTCAAAAGGAAAATTCATGGCCTAGAGATTGAACTGGACATCATTCCAGAAGTTGATCTTTACAAATGTGAACCTTGGGAATTGGCAGGTTATTCCTCACTCTTCTCTATATCTGTGTGTGCACAAGCACTTTTTGGACATGATTCCACATTATTTTTCTTACATAATACTGTCCAAACATATCCAATTCTTTAGTTTTTCATCACATGATTTCGAAACTTAAATTTAGTCATTGTGCAACTGCAGAGAAATCCTTTTTGCCCAGCAGAGATCCAGAGTGGTATTTTTTTGGACCAAGGGACAGGAAGTACCCCAATGGATTCAGAACAAATAGAGCAACCAGAGCAGGATATTGGAAGTCCACCGGGAAAGATCGGAGGGTGAGTTGCCAAAATCGACCGATTGGAATGAAAAAGACTTTGGTATACTATCGAGGTCGAGCTCCCCAGGGAATCAGGACAGATTGGGTGATGCACGAGTATCGTCTTGATGATAAGGAGTGCGAGGAGACTTCTGGGATTCAGGTAGCTCGTATGGTTATATCAATTAATCACAAGAAAAAGCCATATTTCCTCTCCTAAGTTTGTATTTTATTTTTACGCCCAACCTTAGTAGTTGTCTAGATTATCCTCCCATTATTTTTGTTTTTTGTTGCATTTTTCATGACTGCCTACTTCCAGTTGTGAGATTGATTATCACACACACACACACATGTAATTCTTGTTTTAGATCAGTATCACCCTTTATTTTTCTTTCGATAAATACTTTCCTTTTGTTTTAATTTTTCATTTGACGATCTTGAACCTTTTTCCTCGAAATATGTAGCTAGCTAGTTCACTCTTTAGTTCTGTAAATGTCACATTTTAAATTGTAAAGCACAAAATTCAGGCCCATAACGGTGGAAAAGCATTTACCTTCCGTTTTTCGTAATCTCTTTTTCACTAAAAAGATGGATAGAAAGCAAGATAACTATGCTTTAACATGTTCCTCATTTAATCTAGTTGATAATTAGGGAGTCAAAAACTCGTTATATTTCAAAATGTTAACTTATTAGGACTAACCCGTTTCTTCCTATGTCTAGTCGAACTTGGAATTCAATTAGTTCGGGTTTTTTCAGTAGTAGTTTCAATCTTATGAAGTTGAAGTGGAGAATATGCAACGTGAATTTGCATGGCATGCATGGAAATTAAAGGCATTGCTTTTGTCACCCTTAAACAACCACCTTTATGGCTTTATATAGTATAATGTGATTCTTACAAGATATATTCTTTACTTGCATGTCTGAGATCTCTTGAGTGACGAAGTCTGGCTCCGCTTTGTCTTTCTGTAATGAGACAAATGTTCATTATTTTTGACATTAATCATATGAAATCCCACCTTAGATTCTGTAAAATAAAACAATTTATATACGCTGACATAAAAGCAGCCCCATCCTACCCCACCCCTACCCCCTCCTCCCCTCCCCTCCATCACTTTCATTTCTGTGAGAAGGTGTCGGTCACTTTTCACTTTATTCTTCCACTTCCCTGAATAAGACAATGGATTGCAACCCTTCCTAGCTAGAAGAGATGCAAGTCACCAATTTATCTATTACTTTATTCCTTTTCCTTTTTGTTTATTATTTTCAGAGAAATTCGTGTGATAATTTCATTTGATTGGTATCATAAAGAAAGAGGAATGGATCCCTCGACCTTTTCGGCTTTAGGAACTTATTTAAGTAGTTGTTAAGACTTTCGTCCTTCCATATTTTGGTTCCGAACTATTACGAAGTTTTATTTTTTCTTTTTTAAATTGAACTATATTTTCTTTTATTTTTCGTGTCTTTATCAATAAATTATATTTAGCAGAAAGACGGGTATTTCTTATCCATAAAGTAATTGGGAACATATGAAAGCTTTGTTATATTATTTTGTGAAAAATGATGGTAAGACCCTCTTATTCAACTATTTGGAGGAGTATTAAAATATAAATGATATGCAGTTGCTTGATTTTCTTTGGCTGATAAGGAGAGAGAAAGATTTGTACTTTGAGCATTTTTTACAGAGATCACTCTGATCTTTCCTTTTCAAGTTATTATTCCAAACTTGTTATCTTCTTTCTTTCTTTTAAAGCCCTTTTCCCTTAGATGTGTATCAAACTAAATCCAGCAGTCCCTATTATTGACTGGTAAAACAAGATTCAGTCCAACACTTTTCCTTGTCGATAGAGAGCAGTAACTAACTCGATCGTCGTCTGTATGCAGGATTCATATGCGTTATGTCGAGTTTTCAAGAAAAATGGAGTGTGCACCGAAATAGAAGAGCAAGGGCAATGTAGCGTATCGTTGCTCGACTATCCTCAGGGAGTCACGACCGAGTGTGAAACAATGTCACCAGATGTCCCCTTAGCTTCGTCGTCCGCGAATTGTATGGAAGAAGAAGATAAAGACGAGTCGTGGATGCAGTTCATTACAGATGATGTATGGTGTTCATCCAGTGCACCTTTTGGTGGCGAAGAGATGTCTCAACTGGCATTTACAAACTGATTAACATATTATTTGTGGGCTGATTAATTTAGTAACAAAATAATTGACTTATAATTGATGCATATGATAACCTGATGTTTCTTGAATTTTCTGGTTTCATTGTGCAATCTGATTATATGTACTTGTATTTAAATTCTTGTGTTATTGTTTTGGTTGGTCATATCATTGCGGCCATTATTACATTATCTATAATATATTAAATATCAGATCAAGCGAGAATCATTTTTTCAACGATTTTAACTCTGCTACAATTCAATTATTTCAATATTACCTTTTTTTTTTACAATATGTAATAAATACTACATAATACTTGTCATGTATGAATTTCGTGTTATTAATTCTCAATTAATTAATATTCACATTAATATAGATTCAATGAATCATGTCTTGATGAATCTTGATCTATATGAATTTTGAGTTATCATAGATAAATTTATTTTTATTCATATATATATAAGAATTTTAATGGGTATTTAAATTCATGTGTTGACAATTAATTATTATTTACCAAATGTAGTATAAAAATGTTGCTCATTTGTAATATTTCATCATCACACAAAATTTGAATCATAGAAGTTGAATTTTAAGAGTACAATTTTCTTCTCTTAAACTTATATCCTAATTTTATTTTCTTTAGTTCATTTGAAACTCATCAAATTCTCTAAGGGTGTGTTTGATAGGGTGGAAATAAGGTGGAAAATAGAATTAGTTTTCCATTTTCCAGCTTTATGCTTGTTTGATTACTTTTATTTTCTTGGCAATTTGAATTCCTCAAGGAGGCGACACGCTCAAGGTTTCCATAAAAACCTTA